GAGTCCTGGAATGTTGCCAGAAGTGTCTGGTGGCTGGACTTTGATCCTACACAGGAGACGACACCTGTGTGAGGATAGGAGGGTTTCACGGGGGTGAATGGTGAAGGGATTGGTTAGTTAGAGAGTGAAACACAGGGTTTAGGATTTATGTACAGGGGGGTTTAGAGAAGTAAGACGGAGGAATTGGGGCGTGTCCTGTCCTTCTTCTTCTTCTTCTTCTCCTCCATCTTCTGTGGTGATGGCGGCACTTTGAGATTGGCTGTTACTAAAAGTGCACTGGGCAATAAGGGTGAAAGGTATTGGGGAAAAATGATAAATATTGTACACGTAACTTTGGGTATAAAGACAGGTGACCGCCCGGAGGGCAGGGAGTGTGCTCATGGCTGGCTGCTGAGCAGAGCTCTGTCGGGCCCAGAGAAAATCTTTTAGATAAACAATTAATAAACACCGAGACCGAGAAAAGAACTGAAGCCTCTTCTCGTCCCTTGAAACACGGGCTGCCCCAAGGCCACCCCGGGCCTTTCCAGGCCATCCAAACAGCCGAAAACCGGACAAAGAGGAGGAGGAGGGAGCCCAGCCTGGCAGCTGCCCCCTCCAAAGCCAGGCTGTTGGCACTGCTGTTGGAGTCCAATGGTGGGCACAGGTCCTGCCAGCAAAGCCACTGCTCCCTGCCCCTCCTGAGCCACAACTCCCAAGTGCTGCACATCCTGCTCCGCGCTGGGCACCTGGAGCAAAGGGAGAGTCACGGACTCTGGGTTTGGGCGTGGGCAGGAGCGGAGGGAGGGCAGCACAAGGAGCAGCACTTTGGGCAGGAGATGGACAAAAGGGAATTATTGCCTCAGAGCAGGGAGCAACCCCCACCCAAGGGGGCTGCCAAAGCCAGTCAGCACTGCTGGACTCTCCACCAATTGTTTACCCTTCTGAAGCACGGGGAAAAGCCTCCCAGTAGAACAGTGTGCACAGCCAGAGGAGTGCTCAGAGAAGCACTGGAAATCAGGTCTGCTCAGGAGAGTGGCAAAGGTAAACACATCCCTCCATTTCTGCTCCATCCCACAATGCTACAGGGTTCAGTTCTTAGGGCTATAATTAGCAAATCCCACTGATTCCCCCCGAGAAGGGAGGCTGAGGGACACTGCAGCACGAAGGGAAGCAGTGATTTTGTTCTTTCCCCTTATACCTCCCACCTGAGCACCTGCATTTTGCTACCACAGAAACCTCCCCAGGGTCCCAGCAGCCAGGGAGTGCTGGCAGAGGAAGCAAACCAAAGAAAGGATCTGTTTGCACACAAGTATTCCAAGTAATGGAGAGCAGTGAAAAGAAGAATTCTAAAATCTGTAGTTGGGTCTGCTATCGAGTGGAATGTTTGCCATTGTTTTCAGAGAGACAGCAGCTCCTCTTCACTGTGAGGAAGTTAATAGATTACTGGGCAGTGAATAATGTGCAGTTCTATTTACATCCACTGCTGGGACTATTTTGGGCCCTCAGATAGTGTATCTGTTCTCAGGTCTTTCTAAAAGCAGCATGCTACACTTTTTTTGCAAGCAATTCTGGGCAGCAGCTCCAACCATATGCTTCAGTCAGCTACGAACTAGACAGATCATTGTTTGTTTGGAATTTTTTTATTAAACCAATTGTACTGGATCAATGCTTCCTCTAAGCAATAAAATACAATTCTGGCTACGCAGTGGAAGAGCTTTCAAAGTCACAGATAAATCTTGATCTAGGAAATACGGTGTGGCTCTGCACTGATGTGCAATCAACCACAGATGCAAATGAACTCCAGCTGCCAGCACACACATCTGCACCTCAGAATGGGAGCCAGGATTCTTAATTTTCATTAGAAATTGCTAAGACACCTTTTAAGTGCTTCTAGAACCAGCCCACTGCATTAGTCAGGAGTACTCAGGGGCACTGAGCTTGATTTTTATAAAGGTCATTTGATGTCTTTTCCCCTCACAATGGACTAAAAGCAGAGATCAACAGAGCCTGAATCTATATTAATTTGTTTTACTCTTGGAGGGTCATAGATTTGCCACTGGAATTAGCCCTGTTAGATGCTAAAATGGTAATTTAATGAGACAATGATGAAAGCCTGTGTTCTATTCCAAATCAGGAACTCCTCTGGAAGCAGAAGGAGCAGCGACTCCGTGGAGTCGGGGAACTGCACCAATGTCATTGCACAGCAGTGCCTCGGCCTGGAGTGTTCCATGCAAACTTCCCAGCCCCAGCTGCCCGGAGCCGGCAGTCACGAGGGCTGGAGCCCTGGAGATGCTCACAGAGGGAAGGCAGCTCCTCCAAAGGCACAGAAAGCCAGCTCGGGGTCTGAACCTTTCCTCACTTGAAACTTGACCAGCAAATGCTGCTGCACAGCATTGGTGCCAGCCAAGGGCAGGATAATGGAGCCTCCAGGATGCCGAGGCTCCGGGATCCGCAGCCGGCAGGAATTGCACTGCGCAATTCCCCGAGCACACAACACCCTCCTTTGGGGCACACATACAGCTCTTGCAAATATTTTGATAAGATCTGCTCTTTGGTGCAATCTGCTGCATTTCAGAGGTCAAAAAAATGTTAGCCATATTCATGGGAGCTGTTTCCAAGAGATATGCTTAAGCAGAGGGCAAGAGGGAACACAAAGCCCAAACAGAAGGTGGGAGGGCTCCCACTCTTCCCCTTCACTCAGCCATTGTCCACAGGTCACTTTCCATGGAAGCCCATGCTCTAAGCAGCATTCCTATCCAAACAGATACTGCAGGTGACCTAGAAACAGGGGTGAACAAAGCCTCCCTGGAAATATCCCCCCTGAGCAGGCAGTGGTGCATCCAGCTCCTCCTGGCCTTGGCACACGGCTCCAGACACTCACCCCAGTGCCCCGGCCCAGGGGGACAGCAGGGACACAGCCCGTGCTGCTGGGCTGGCTGGGCTGGGCTGGGCCGGGCTGCTACACCAGCTCACAAGGAAACCAGCCCACCTGGAATGTGCCCACAGCACAGACAGCAGCTCCCTGTGCCCTCCCAGCCCCATCAGGGCAGGGGCTGTTATTAACACCAGGAGTCACCCACGTACCCACGGAGCTGTGCCCGCACAAACAGCTCAGTGCCAGCAGCTCTGTGCCATCATCTGGCTGGGGGAGCCAGGGCTTGCCAGCAGACTCCATTCCGCTGGGCAAGGCCCCATAGCCAAGTGCCTGAGGAAGGAACAGTTACCTCATCATCTTACAGAATAAGCACTGGTTCTGTAGGAACCTTAAAATCCCAAACTCTTGGGTACATCTCACCTTGGGCAAGGTGGTTACCTCATCTCCTGCTGCTGAAGTTTGCCAGGCTGGTTCTGTGCTGAAAACAGGCACAGATGAGGAAGGGAATAAACCCACTACAGAGACAGAAGGACATGGAAGCTGAACACTGCTTTTGCCTAACTCCAGATCCAACGCAGAGCCCAAACCCCAAATTTCCTGCGGGTGTGACACGCAGAGCACGCCTTGCTAGAATAACCCAAGAAAACAGAGCAGTTAAACTCCAACTCATGGCAAATACTGCAAATACAGCTGAGAGTACCAAACTGGTTTTGTTCTTTTGAAAGCTCCTCATTCTCACATTTCAGTGTTTGGGAGCTGTGACTTGGTCAGTCTCACTGGGAGGCAATTTTCTCCTGGTTCCAGTGTGGGATTGGGTAAGGCTGTGCTTGCAAGGACTCTGCATCATGCTGTAGCTGCTGGAAACCCTCCTAAGCTCAGTCAGCTGTGTGCTTGGGACACTTGAATGCACTGAATTTAAATGACAGTGCAGTCTTCCAACTCACAGAGCCTTCTAATAACATTTGTTAATCCAAGCAAATATCAAGGAATCTGGTCAGTGCCAGTGCTGAATCTGCTAAGCATGTGGGCTGCTTGCTAAATCCCTAATAGGTGGTGTCAGGAGGTTTCTGTCATTCCTGCCTTTGGGAGGCCAAATCCACCCTGAAACTCCTTCCTGCAATTATCTCACTAAGTGTATTTGTGGGAATCATGCATGGTTCCTTGCAGAGTGCACACATTCAATAAAATCATATAGTGTGACAAAGGTATGTTTGAATAATATTCTTCTCCTGTGTGCTTTTAAATGTGAGATGTAAGCCCATTGTAATTAAAGTTGAGGCAATAAACCTTAGGCATTGATTGCACTCAGTAATTAATTATTGATTGCAGTGCTTTACATGCATATTGCAGAGGACAGTTCACCTGTGCAGCAGACAGTACTTTGCCCAGAAATACCCAAACACAGCCCTCTATGCAGGACCATACAGGACTTTACCAAAACTGGCTCTAGGATTTCCAAGTTCATTCCCTTATTAACCTCCACGGAAATGTTGGTGTGGAGTGAGAGCAAGCATTACTTTGGCAAATCAGTGTTAACTATTCCCAATCCAAACCCATTATGCAAATGAGGATGCACAGATGCAAAAGGGGCTCTCTCTCTGTTTAGAACCTTGTTAATGAACCTGCCATCCCCTGCACATCCCAAATCCTGAAAAGCCATGCTGCAGTGAAACACCTACACAACAGCAACAGTAGCAACATCCCTGCCTAACTCTTGGGAAGGAGCAGGGAGAGGACTGGGAGGTGTGAAAATGGGAAGCATCAATCAGGCAGAGCATCCATGGAGATGCAGGACTAGTTAAGATCAGAGATCTAAAGTTGTGCATCAGGTGGGAACAGTTTTTCCCATTTACAACAAACTTAAAGAGAGCCTTTCCATCATAAAAACCCAAAGACAATTGGTTCAAAAACAATTTAAAATTACTAATAGTGTGGGGACACCAAAATTGAGGTGAAATGTAAAGGAAATCTGCAGCTTGTCTGAGTGGAGCAGATCTTGGCTGTGTCCTCAGCTCCTGTGGCTGGGAAATGACCCAGGAAAGTTCTGTTGGGGTGGGTGCCCTGTGCAGGAGGTGCCACGGGAAGGGGCTGCCCAGCTGTTTTGGAGTGGGCTGGGAAAAGGGGGGGTTGGAAATGGGGGATGTACCTGAAGTCGCTGTAGGGATGGATGATCCAGAACCCGGCAGACTTAACTCTTTCCTGCTCCCTCTCCACGGCCTTCTGGCTGCCAAACATCCTCAAGGAGAATTTGTTGACCCCCGGCTGGAGCATGGCCCCGAACTGCCTCTGCATGAAACCGGCCTGGCCGAGCCTCTGCTCCTCATCTGGGGTGATCTGGTCGCACCCTCCACCTCCCTCCACTTTGATGGAGGTCGAGGAGCAGGCCCGGGGGGGCGGCTGCTG